TTCTAACTCGAAAAGATATGTAGTACGGCGAAACGCGTGCATATGTGCATGTGTCTACTCAAGGAAATTGGTGTCACTACGAATAGATATTGCACACGGTCAGATCATATTTCTTAGGTGCGGACAGAAAATTGAGAGTCGTTTTATTATGTTCCCTGCCTCAAGTCTTCAACCACATCTGCGTGCACCTTTCTGAAATAGATTTCCGCTGGTTTTCAAATAATTCCAAATGGTATCGAGCTGAAATTCATCTGCAGCATTTTAACCCGCATTTAAATTGTCCAAGCACTATTCTCTCGAGGTGTCTAAACAAGAAGGGGTTTTCGTGAAAATCTCGTCAGATAACAATCATATTCGCGATCTTTGGAGGACAGCTTTTGTAATAAGCGAACTAGGGACCTTATGCGAGATTACTTTGCACCCAACGATCAACGTTGGCTACAAAGTTTACTCACACAGATGACTGCTTACGCTCGAAATGTGCTAATCAGGCATCTGCGTTCACAAAAGATTTCACATATAGTGTACAGATCACATAGGTGGTATGTCACTAACGATAAGGGACGAACATACAAGGTAACCATGTGATTCATCTACTTCGTACAAAACAGCGGCCTCCAGTTCCATTGTATCCAAAAGAAAACCCCTTTTGGAAGTTAGAACCAAGGATGAGGACGACTTAGTTTACATAGGGGACCCTTTGAGGACGGTTGGCTTCAGGAGAATGACGACCACGACAGCTCGCCGGTACAAGTTGCAGTGAAACAGAGGACGAAAGGAGAACCAGTTATCACCATTCAAAGCCGACATCTGCAACGTCTGTCGTTCAACAGAACCCTCGGCGGATTTGGATGAAGACATTCAATGGGTCCAATGCTCCCGGTGCAATCGATGAACGCATCAAATATGCGCTGGATTCAATGGAGAAGAAGACTATGTTTGTGTACACTGTCTGTATACGTGAACAGAGAAAGAAAAACGGTCCCAATGGGACCACCACTAACTGATTGAGAAATGCCTGTGCTGTCATCATTTGTCTTTTCCTACTTTGGTACTGGTGAATGGGATCCAGCGCGGATAGGTTGCCTCGTTACAAACGGAAGGGGTGGGCGTTCCGGTGGGTCAAGGCGTAGGATATATATATATATGTAAACATTTGAAAATATATATATTTACATATATATATGTATATATATAAATATATATATATACATAAATTTGAATATATATACACATATATATATATATATTTGAATATATATATATATACATGTGTATGAATGTATATATATATATATTTAAATATATATGTTTACATATATTTAAAAATATATATGTGTAAGTATTTGTGTAGACACATGTTCATGGATCGTATCCCTTTTTCTGTACTCACTCATTCCCTTCTCTACGGATGATCAGCGTTATTTGTTCGTGATGGTCTCTAAGACCTCTTTATTGTTTATTTTAGTGCCAGACTTAAGTCTGTTACCATTCTGGCTGCGAGACTATTCTTG